TATATATATATATATATGTGTGTGTGTGTGTGTGTGTGTGTGTGTGTGTGTGTGTGTGTGTGTGTGTGTGTGTGTGTGTGTGTGTGTACCTTCACATCATGTGAAGAAGACAAAGGAGATGATCGTGGATTTCAGAAGGAACAAAAACACCTACACCCTCCTGAACATAAGAGGATCTGCAGTGGAGGTGGTCTCCAGCTACAAGTACTTGGGTGTACACATGAAGGACAACCTCAGCTGGAGCAACAACACTATCAGCCTGATCAAGAAAGCTCATCAGAGACTCTACTTCCTCGGGAGGCGAGCTGGTCTGGGAAGCTCAGTCCTCAGCTCCTTCTACAGGTGTGCAGTGGAGAGCATCCTGTGCTCCAGCATCAACGTGTGGCATGGAGGCTGCACAGCTGCAGAAAGAAGCTGTTAGACTCATGAATCTCTAACCAGAATAATCACTGTGAAAAATCACATCATGTTGCTGCTGATCTGTTTCATGTTGCTGCTGATCTGTTTCATGTTGCTGCTGATCTGTTTCATGTTGAGGTGTTCATGCGTGCTCATCTGCTCACACAGACTCATGCTCATGTTTGATATAATGTTTTTATACTATTAGTGCTTAGTGTATTTTTAGCTGATGTTTTCTTAGTTCATATCTTAGATATTATTGTTTTTCTTTTACATTTTATTGTTAGATATAACTGGGATCCTGTGTACATAATTTTGTTCCACCACATGTACCTCATAGGGTGGGAACGACAAATAAAGGACCTTGAATCCTTGAAACTGAACTAATTACAAAAACACTAATTTGAGCTTCCTAATCTCACGTCAGAGCTGTCCCTTTGCATTTCTGCTTCTGCTCTTTAAAAAATCTCTGCCCCTAAAAGTTCAAAGTCATCAGCTATTTGCTTAAAAAACATAAAAATATTTTTAAAATTTTGCACCACGTGTAAGTTCCTGCACATTTGTGAACTATCTGATGTGATTGCAGGAGTTTCGAACTTTCACACAGAAACGAGACGATGATCTCGGCTCATGAAGTTGTTGTGCAGTCGGAGTGTTTGAAGCGAAGTCGGAGCGACCAGGACGTTTTCCTGAAATGAGCAGAGAGCAACTCTTTTCTCAACCAGTGACCAAGAGCTAAATGTTGGCAGCTTTTTCTAAGTATGGCCAAAAACTTAGAGCAGTGCTTGTTGTCCCACAGTGGACGCCTGCCCAACAAAAGTGACTATGATCATTTTATTGAGGAGCTGCAGGTGTTTTATTCACATCATTAGGATTTTGTAAAGAAACTCAGTTCTCAAACCTTAGATTCACCAAAATATTGAATAAATATGGAATAAATGATGACCGTCCTAAACAGAGCAGTAAAATATATGATTTTATTTATTTACTTATTTTTTGCATTAGTCCGATTTCAGCCTGTCAATCAATCCAGTAGGCGTGTCAGGAACTGACCAGTCAGCGACCTCAATTTGTCCGAAGTGAACGCCCCTTACCTGCAGAGCTGCAGCTGTGTTGCATTACAAACATTTTGCAGCGATAGAGATTTTAATAATGAGTTTACATGTTTTGTTTCATGTTAATCTACTGTTTCAAACATTTGTCAAATACACCAGAATGCAGGAAATGGCATCTACTTTATTCAAAATTCTCTGGGGGAGAACAACGTTGTGAATACAACAGAGATCAGGAACACACTACCATCAGCATTGGAATGATGTCAGCTGTCTTCTATACACCTGCAGCTCATCAGGGTAAGGATCTGCAGGTGTGTCTCGATTGGGGACATCTAGTGGAGGAAAGCTGTAGGAGGAAAACCCTAGAACTGCAGTTTCTTTCATGAAAAACTTGCTGATGGAATTGAGAAGGTCTTTAAAGAACTCCTTCCACCGCACGGTGATGTCACTGGTTGAAGTCACCAGCACCACACCTCCACTATAAACAGTGTTGGTAAAGTGCTGCTTTCCCTGCGTTAGTCATCTGATGGTTTGTCTGAATCTTCTTGGTGCCGGTCAAGAGTCTTTATCCAAGGTTTCTCTGCCCCTTGGATGGACTTGTGTCTATACTGGTCCTGTTAAAACTAAGTGCTGCATTTGATACAGTTTATCAAAATATCCTAATGCAGAGGCTTGAATATATTACTGGGATTACAGGAATGGCTCTAAAATGGTTTGAATTATATTTATTTGATACAGTTGGTAAATGTAAATAATGAATCTTCTTCATACACCAGTTAATCATGGAGTTCCTCAGGGTTCAGTGCTTGGACCAATTTTTTTTTTTTCATATATGCTTCCATTAGGTAAAGTTATTAAACAGCGTGGGATAAATTTTCATTGTCATGGTAAATGGATTGTACTTATATAGCGTCTTTCTATCCTATCGAGATACTCAAAGTGCTTTACTTTACAATCTGTGCCCTTATTTACACATTCATACAGCACTCTACTAGATCTCTACAAAGCTAATTGAACAAATCATTCTAATGAGACTAATTAGTGCTTTTAGATCACATTCATACACCAATGGAACACACAGAGGTTATGAGGAGTTCAGTGTCTTGTCCAGGGACACTTCGGCATGTGACTGCTGGTGGATCTGAACCCCCAAATCTCGCATTAGAGGACGACTGCTCTAACCACTCAGCCACAGCCGCCCTACGTGGATGATACCCAGTTATTTTTGTCCATGAAACCCGATGAATCCAATCAGTTACTTAGACTACAAGCATGTCTTAAAGACATAAAAACCTGGATGACACTTAATTTCCTGCTTTTAAACTCAGACAAGACAAAGGTTGTGGTTTTTGAACCTGAATATATTTGGAATAAATTTTGCAGTCTTTCACTTTCTTTGGATGGCATAAACTTGGCCTACAGTTCTAATGTTAAAAACCTTGGTGTTATTTTTTATCAGGTTAAGTCTTTTAACCCCCACAATAAAAAAAAGTTACCAGAACCACTTGCCTCCACCTGCGTAATATCACTAAGATTAGAAATATCTTGTCCAAAAATGATGCAGAAAAACTGGTCAATGCATTTATCATGTCCTGGGTTGGACTATTGCAATGGTTTACCATCTGGGTGTCCAAAATCTTCTTTAAAAGTCTTCGGTTGATTCAAAATGCTGCTGTCAGAGTTTTAATGAATAGGTAGGAGAGATCATATTTCTCCAGTTTTAACTTTTTCCACTGGTTACCTGTCAAATTCAGGATATAATTCAAAATATTACTTCTAACATACAAAGCTCTCAACAACCTAGCACCATCTTATATAACAGATTTATTGTTCCATATTTTCCTAACAGAGCACTTTGCTTTCAGTCTGCAGGTTTACTTGTGGTACCTAGAGTTTCCAAAAGCAGAATGGGAGGCAGAGCTTTCAGTTATCAGGCTCCTCTCTTGTGGAATAAACTTCCAGTTTCTGTCCGAGAGGCTGACTCCTTGTCTACATTTAAGATTATAGGCTTAAGTATTTTTTTTTTTTCCTATAATTAGGGTTGGCTTTGGTTTTCTGAGCTATCCCTTAGTTATGCTGCTATAGGCTTAGACTTGTGGAGGACACATAGATCAAATTTTCTCACTCTGTTGCTGTCTTTAATTGCTCTACTCTACCTGTTTTATATTTCTACCTGTTTAGTATTTGTAACTATTTTTTATCCTTAACGTGAGTTTTTGTCTTTCTTCCAATAGGGGATTCATTCAACTTTTAATTATACAGGTTAATCCCTTTGAGTCTTGGGGACTCATTTACAAAATAAACCTGATTTTACACCTGGACCTGTCCTTCTCCTTCCTGTCCTCTCAAAGTCCAGTCGGTCAAAGCAGACGGCTGCTCGTCCTGACCCTGGTTCTGCTGAAGGTTTCTTCCTGTTTAAAGGGGAGTTTTTCCTTTCCAAGGGTTCAAGGTTCAGTGTTCTTTGCTGTCATTCGCATCACATGTGATACATGAGGTGGAACAAAATTGTGTACTCGATGTTCCAGTTACACCCAAAAATAGCAAAAAATATAAAATAAATAAAGAAACAGTATATCCAAGCTATACACTAATATATGTTAAACAAATGCTAAACAAACGTTATACAAAAAGCTATATAATACCCTAAATGATATACTAAAAGATCTAAAATATACGCTAAACACTAATACTGTAAAATAATACAGTATATTAAACGGCAGCCTGAAGGTGTTTGAACATGTTCTTTCCATTGTTGCCAATGTGCTTGCTCAGGATGGGAGACTGTGACGAAGTGAAGATTCAACACAACCTGCTGGCTTCCTTAGATAGAAAACTTTTACTAACTGGCTTTTTATGTTTGTGAGTGTTTTTGCACAGTGCCCTGAGACAACTTCTGTTGTGACTTGGAGCTATATAAATAAACTGAACTGAACTTATATAATGTAATAATATATTTTTACAATATTTTTTCTGATGTAATTCTGAATTTAAAGCCAGAATTGCAACTTTTTTCATTGAATTCTAATTTTAATTGCAGAATATTGACTTTAGCATCAGAATTTTGACTTCATTCCTAGAATTATACATGGGGAAAATTCATATTTCTGGAAAACAAAAGTTTTGAAAAAGAAAAATTGCCCTATACTTCTCTTCAGTAAAACTGTAAAAAAAACAATGAGCACGTGGTCTTGGGTAAAAAGATTTAATGTACTGTAAACAGGTTCACAACTATCGTGTGTTTGTGCTTTTGATTTGAAAGTCCGTACCGGAAGTAGATTTGTTGCTTCACGCAGGTTAACATGACGTAATTTCTCGTCTCGGCTCAGATCATTTCTGCTGCCCTGCTGTGAGGACGTCAGGTGGACGGTTCAACAGGGGAAGCGCAGCAGTGACAGAAAAGTTATTTTACTCCAAGGACCAGGTTTTGACTTTATGGATCCCAACAGTTACCCCAGCGCTCCCCCAGCGGTTTGGACTGATGAGAAGTCTGCCATGATGCAGTCTCCTCCACCGCCTCCCTACATGGACGCTCCCCCGCCCGGAGACCCTCAGTTCAGTAAGGTGTACCCCCCACAGCCGCAGGTAACCTCTCTTCACAGAACAAAATAAAACATTAAAATCATGTTTTTATATCTTAACAGAAACTCATGTGAACTATAAGGAAACCCGTTTTTAACTCCTTTAAATAAAAAAGTGAACTAGTATTACTTTGTGGACCAATTTTTTTTTTATTCTCTCATTTTATTACCTTGTTAAGGACTTTTAAATTCATTAGTGTTTCTTTTCTTGTTTTTTGTTTTTTTTTCCTTCTATTTTAACAATTTTGTTCATGATTTAAGTTTTTGTAGATACTTTTATGAAAGTGCCACAAACTACTTCCCCTTTTCCAAAGTTAATAAATTTTCATTTTTTGCACTTTTTGTGTGGAGCTGCTCCATCAGGGATCAGGCAGGGCCTCGTTCTGTTGACAGGGTGGGGCACCTCCTTGGATCATGGTAGGGATTACACTGGATTAAGCTTCCACAGGAGTTCAGTTTCAATTCTCTGTAAATCACCCAATGTGTGTGTGTGGGGGGGGGGGGGGGATTTCCTCCCCCAGAAATTTTGGAATAAAGTGAATGCTGTTTCCTACATTCTGGTGTATTTTAACGGGTTGTTAATTATCTACGTTTACCTACATAACTTGATTCACTACCTATTTTAGAGACCGGTTCCTCATTCCACTAGTCCATATATGTGTCATCCTGTTTTAAACTCACTCCTATGGCTAAGATAATGAAATTAATGTGACACAACTGATCACAAACAATGATTTTAGGGGTGCACTTCACTTTTATCTTGATTTTTGGTTTACCGTTTATTTGTAACGCATGCCATTTCCTAAGCAACGGTGACACTGAACTACACGTTTAAAAGAAAGAAAATTAACTTTACCCAATGAACAAGTGCAATTTTGATCACCACCAACAGTGAATTTAAGGGTGATTTTCTTTCTTTCTGATTTAGTGATAGACGTACTCGTAACACAAAGATGACATGGAACCATGCAGCCTTCACAACATTGCACTGTGCTAAGCAATAGCGGGAAAAAAATAGTCAGTTTTGTCAACGCCATCAAATGGACTTTCAAATCTTTGGGCAAAGACGAGACAAAACAAGTTGTTCCTGCTCGAATTAGATGACGCTTCCAAAAATGTGCTGCTTTGTTTATAGACACAAAAGACTGGCAAATCTCCTTCACCTGATCAAGTCTATATGTGGCAGACAGAGTCAGAGTTTCTTTATTGTCATTCGCACCACATGTGGTGCATGTGGTGGAACGAGATTGTGTACTCAGGGTCCCAGTTACATTCCACAATAAAATGTAAAAGAAAAACAAACAGCCCTCTGCTACTATTGACTGCAGCCGTCCTTACTGGGGACATGATTTCACACAGATACTGTGTGTTTCTAAAAATCTCTTTCTGGTACTAACACACATGAACAGCTGCTACAAAGCAAAACGGTGTCACACTTTACAGTTTTAGGTTTTCATGTTTGACGACGATTACTTGACTATAGGTTTTGGCACTTTGACCTTTTTTGTAAATAAATAACCGTATTGCATATATACATTGTTCATCTGAGATTATATTGTTGTCAAATCTGGTAAAAATGTCTGTTTTTAAAATTACTTTATAGTTTAACAAACTAAAATAAAGTTTTCCACGTGAACGCTTACACAGCCTTCATGCCCGAGGGGCTTGATGTTTGATGCTCATGTCTTCATTTTAAATGCCTCGTCTGGCACTGTTTTCTAAATTTATCATTTATATTTGTGCTCAGAGATAAAATCCCATCAGAAAGTGACGACCTAAGCATGTTCTAACCAGCTCTGTGACTTAAAACCATCTCAGATCATCTATCTGAGCATGAACTTGGTTGTCATCTCAAATCAGGCTGAAACAAAATCTACACATTTGTGCGTCTGTGATCTACTTATGTTGAACGCACGACCCATATAAAACAATCGGCAAAGCAGCAAACTTTTCACAAGTTTGGGCGGCTGTGGCTGAGTGGTTAGAGCAGTCGTCCTCCAATGAGAGAGTTGGGGGTTCGATTCCACCAGCAGTCACATGTCGAAGTGTCCCTGGGCGAGACACTGAACCCCTCATTGCCTCCAGTGTGTGAATGTGATAAAGCTCTGATTAGTCTCTATGTAGATTAGCTTTGTATAGATGTAGAGTGCTGTGTGAATGGGTTAATGAGGACACAGATTGTAGTGTAAAGAGCTTTGAGTGTCTTGATCAGATAGAAAGGCGTTCTATAAGTACAGTCCATTCACCATTTACAAGTTCCAGTTCTAAAAACAAGTTATGAAAACCCTTTTCTGCGCAGTGTTTTTTGCTTTAGGAGACAAACATCCTCACACTGTGGTGTCGAGGTGCAAGCTGCTCCCCTGCTGGTTTTGCACGTCTTCTTATAGACTAGGGGCATGAATGAAGTAAGATGTGTAAACTAAATTAAAAACAATAAAAACGGAGCTAAATTCAAATCATTGTTTAACTTCTGTATTCGGTGTAATAACCTCAAAATTAGACTTGAATTCATGTTTTTCCATCAGGGCTACTCTTGATGAATCATTAATTTAAACTGTGTTTTGTTTGTTGCCTTCAGGACCATGGGATGCCACAGCAGTATAGTGTAGGGTACAACCAGCAGCCTTACGCCATGGGCCAGCAGTACCCACTTCAGCCCGGTACTGTCATGGTGCAGCCCACCATGTTTGTGGCCCCACACCCTCTGGAAAACCCGGTCAAGGACTACTTGGGCTACTCCATCTTCACCATGATCTGCTGCTGCCTGCCACTTGGCATCGCTGCCCTCATCTACTCCATCTCTGTAAGCTCCCTTGTTTTATATTCTGCCTTAACTCTTGTGGATGCAAGTTAGAAAGTTCAGCTGGACTGTTTAGTTTACACGATGGTGCTTGCACGTCCCTTCTGTCAAGTGTCGGTTTCTCTTCCACTGAATAAACAACATTTTGTCAACAAAGGGAGGATTAAGTTAAGAGTTTCTGTTGCTTGAAAGGCTCTGAGTTGGCCGTTACTTTCAGTTCTGTTTTGACTTTTTGTTTTTGGATAGATTTCACTGGCACAGAACCTTGTGGTTTTCTAAAGTTGTTATCTTGAGTTAATCTAAACTGGCAACAAAAATTATAAAAACTTCTCCTTTTTTTTTTTTTCTTCCCTTAAATGTTAACAGACCATTCTTGTTAGTTTTGGCTGTTGTAGTTAGTTTCACTTTGATAAAAGCAGTATTCAGTTCACTTTAAACATGCAGTTGTTAAGCCGTTGTTGAAGAAGCCCGACCTTGACTCGTCTGTTCTTTCAAATTTTTGGCCAGTTACAAAACTTTCCAACTCAGGAGACTAAACTAATTTTCTCTTAGACCTGACCGCTGCCTGTGATACAGCTGACCACAGCATTCTGGTCTCTAGGCAGGAACCTTGTTGTATCAAAGGCTCTGCACTGGACTGGTTCAGGTCTTTTCTGTCTAACAGTTTCTATGTAAGCCTCTGACAACCTGTTTCTTCCTCTGCCACCTTCACATGTGGAGTTCCGCAAGAATCTATTCTTGAACCTATTTAATTTCTATGCAGACAACACTCAGATCTACTTGCAGTTGGAGCTCAATCGATCGAGATTAAAGCTTGGATAGATTCTATGGATTAAAGTTCTCCATCGCTGCAACAGATTTCTGTCAGTTTGAATGTGGTCAGGATGGATTTCCATAATCTGTAAAAGGGGGAAATAAGTGTGTTTTTATTATGGTCTTTTTGAAGCCACCCAACCTAATAATGATTCAGGGATTAAACTGACACTGCTTTCAGCAAATAAAGTGAACCAGAGCCACATTTTGACCTGATCAGAGCAGGGCAGGTCGTGCTGTCTGGTTTGCGATGAGCCCAGAGCAGTGTTCCTAACTTGGAGACAGACTGCAGGTGAGAGCACCGATCAGCGCTTCCTGGACATTTTTTAAGGACACCTTGCTACTCTAACAGAACTGATGAATTAAATTGTAAAAAGTTAATTTATTTTTAAGTTGAGGTGTTTATCTAAAGTTAAATAGTTTTTTATCATTCAATAATTTTAAACAAACGTTTCACACTTTTATTTCTTCTCGGCTGGACTATTATAACTCTGTATGTTGGTGTTAGCCAGGCCAGCCACTGGTCCACAGAGGAGATCGGGCCTTTAGGTCAGTTCAATTCAACCTTTATTTATACAGGTTAGTCTCATTGAGCCTCGAGGACTCATTTACAAGAGAGACCTGAGGTCCAGGCTGGTCCACAGAGGAGATCAGGCCTTGGTGTTTTTAAGTCTCATTTTCAAACCCTGACCAGGTGTACAACACCACACCCCACCCCCCGTCTGGTGGTTGGTATTAGATGATAATGAGTTAAGTGCATGAATGTGAAGAAAGCAGCTGAAATGATCAGATAAAGTAAACATTTGGGGAGGGAGTGGACTGTTTTCCAGTCTTACAACATCCTACAGTTCATCTGTGTTTCATGTATGCTTTTTGATTGTGTAACTTTAGTGTTTGTAACTGTGGTGTTACAAAAGTCGTGTGTGACATAATTCAGAAAAGTTTGTTTTTGCACCTGCTTATGACCATTTGAGTAAAGCTATTACATAAAAATAAGTTGGGTGATATTTGAAATAAATTAAAATAAACTATTTTGCTAACACATTCCGCCTTTGTTTTAAAACATTGAATGGTAAAAAAAAAAAAAAAAAAGAAGTGAAGTGTGCTTAGATTGCGTATTACTATCCAAGAGATTCACTGACAGAACAAGTTCTGCTTCCTGATGTACCAGTCAGTTCAGATGTCATCTGGTGCACATGCTTGTATAAATGTTTTGGTTGGTAATGGGCTGATGTGGATTGAACTGTAATCAGAGGTCCAATGTGGCAACATCACAATGGGAGGGATGGTGTTATCAGGCAGTTGCTAGACTGTCGGTCAGAACAGTAACTGAAAGTCACATGACCTGGTCCACACTACTCCAAATAACTTTAAACACAAATATTATCTGCTTTAACATGCTAAAAGAGTTAAAAAATGAGTAAACTGGAGATGATATCAAAGGAAATAAAAAGTTTTGGGAGAATCTTGAGCAATGAATGTTGCCAGATTTTCCACAGAATGATTCTTCTGCTTGAGATTTTCTTTGCCCTACCCAACCTACAGTATGCTTCCATTTTGTTTGAAGAGCTGTTTCATTCAGAGTCAGTTTTGTTGTTCTTCTCAAAGATTATTGTGTTTGTCCTCCGTCGTCGACTGGAGGGGAAATACCCTCTGTTTGGCCACCATAAATGTCTGTGCATGCTGTGAGCATGATGACTTGAAAAATAAGTGAGTTGCCAACTTCCATTTTGGTTGTAAGAAAGGTGACTATCAAAAATTGGGATGCAACGTCAAAATCTAAGATGGCTGCCGTCATAAATGTCTGTTCGTGTTGTGAGCATGTTAACTTGAAAAAATAAGTGAGGTACTGACTTTCATTTTGATGTGTGGCTACATCTAGGTGCAAGAAAGGTTCTCTTCGAAATTTGGGTTGCCACATCAAAATCCAAGTTGGCTACTGCCATATATGTACAGCATATACTGTATGTAAACTCTGTGAGCTGCATAACGAAAAATAAGCAATGTGCCAACTTGTATTTTGGTGTGCGGCTGCATCTAGGCGTAAGAAAGGTATTATTGAAAAATGGGTTGCCACGTCTAAAGTCATTTCAGCAAAACACTCCTCTTGAAAACATCACAACTCAAATCCCTCAGCGACAAGGGAGCGTTGACGTACCGCTTCTCTCAAAGAGCTTTGCCTTTTAGAGACTAATGGTTATAGCAGGAGGTATTTTTAGTTCAACCTAAAAAATACTTCTTTTTTTAATGACATTTAAGGATTAGAGTTGCCTTCTCTGGATTATTTTGTCTGAGTTTTACCAGACATCTTACTGCTTCAACTGGCGTCTCAAGTTGGGCAAAGAGAGGTTTTTTTATTTTTTTATTTTTTTTATTTACACAAATAAGTATTTCAAATTAGATTACAGGGATGGAAACAAAAAACCATTAGTGTAAAAAGTAGTTTGGCTGTGCACAGTGCACAGTAATTGTGGATAATGGCAGAAAATTGAATTACCTCCCTGGAGCAGAAACAGGACATGGATCATGAGCTGTGTACTCAGTAAGAGTCTAGAACCATGTTCTTCATTCAAATAAAGCTTTAATTACCAATGACACAAATGTCTAATTGATATTTTTAAAGTTTCATTACTTTCAAGTCTAATTGGGTTAAGTATTTTATCTTAAATGTGATGTAATGGTGGGCAATCAATCAAGCATTTGCTTGTGTGCATATGTCATATTGTCAAAGAATTGTATGAATCACTAGAAAGGTTTTGAAGAATCTTTCAGAAAGTAATGACTGGATGTAAATTTACAATCGACTACCTGTTGAAGTTACCACAATTCAAGATGGGCGCCACAGCTAACTGACCTCAGCAAATACAAATATAGCAGTTCACAGGTACCGACCTAAAGTCTGATGTGGTGGCAGCCGATAGTCATTGAAAAGTGATGTTGAAAACGATGAGCAGCACAAACAGCACTCTTCTATCCACCATCGTGTGGTTCAGCTGCTCGTGCAGAAAACTGTAGACTGCAGCCCTCCATAGTGTGCATGTGTGATTTCACACTGATACTTAGCATTTCCAAAAACCTCCATCCTCTTTGAGACCTGGATCCAAAAAAGTTTCAGTGTCAGAGAAAATAGCTGCTGTTGTGCAGAACAGCTGAACCGCAGCAGAAATGCTACAGTGCAATGCAAAGAGGACCTAAGACCGTATGAGAAGCTCAGTTATGTAACGTAGACTCACATGCAGAATAAACTACAGACCTCTCACAGTGGAGAGTCATTTGTTTCTCCAAAACTGCAACAACGACTCCACAGACGCATGGCTCAGTACAGAAGAGCCAGCTCTTCAGGACAAGACTCAGCTGTGCACCTACACCTGAAGGATAAGGGACACTCTGCTGACGACCAAAATGTTCATGATAGGGCGGCTGTGGCTGAGTGGTTAGAGCAGTCGTCCTCCAATGCAAGAGTTGGGGGTTCGAATCCACCAGCAGTCACATGTCAAAGTGTCCGAGGGCAAGACACTGAACCCCTCATCGCCTCTGATGTGTGTCCCATCGGTGTATGAATGTGATGTAAAGCACTGATTAGTCTCATTAGAATAATTTGTTCAATTAGCTTTGTAGAGATCTAGCAGAGTGCTGTATGAATGGGTAAATGAGGCACAGATTGTAGAGTAAAACGCTTTGAGTATCTTGAAATAAGATAGAAAGGCGCTATATAAGTACAGTCCATTTACCATTTACCATTTATGATAGGAAGGTGAAAGAAGCCATTTATATAAATAAATAAACTTTAAACAGAGGAGATCTTGGGAGTGCAGCTTTTAGGGGTGTAAATCACCAGCGATACAATATTATATTGATTTGTTTGTATGACGTTACGATTTTCCTCGAATCACAATCTGTCACGATACAATTTCGATTCTATTCGATTCACAAGTCTGCGGTCGATATATTGTGATATCAAATGCCCATCTCTTTTACATATAAATAAATTTACAGAAACAATTCAAATATGATTTAATAGATATTGAGCTTACATAACATGGCTATCAATGCCGTGTTTCTTCTTCAGGTGAACGGCCAAATGTTGTTGTTTCCCGAGTATTTTAACTCACACTGACACCTGCTGCATACGACGTGTTTTATCTGTGGAGCCGTCCTTCTGTTGGAATCAAAATATTTCCACAGTGTTG